CAAACATTCAAAAAAATCCAGCTGCAACCTCATTTCCACTTACTCCAATTTTATCCTGTCGATGTTCGTCATTATTCCTTCAAGCTGCAATCGAACAAAAAACGTGTCATATGAAAAACACAATGCAAGAACAAAAAATGGATAAACACAATGCAAGAATGGATAATAAAACGAACAAAAAATGGATAATAAAATCGAAAATAAAACGAACAAAAAATGGATAAACACAATGCAAGAATTTTATCAGCGTGTCATATGAAGAAAATTACAAAGTGATGTTTGGTGTTGTTGTAGTAGTACCTTGACGATTTGGCGCATAAAATAATCTCCGTATTTCTTTGCCGGTTTGGATTCGACAACATGAACCATTTCCTGAATCACAAAAACAACAGAGGTGATTTTATCTTAGCATAAGTTTTTTTTTTTTCTTTTTTTTTTATCTTAGCATAAGTTTCCAGTGAAAGGATCATGCAAGCAAATAAAAACTCACATCAACAACGTAAAAGTTGATATCTGCATTGGAAGTGATTTTCCCATCTGAATCCACGGCATGTGTCTTGTGTTTGTACGTCATCAAAATTGTCCTACAGAAAGAAAAACCAACAATGCTCATACATTTCAAACAATTTTATCACATTAGGCAAAAAAGCAGGGACCTGAATCTCGGATTACAATGTAGGGTTCTTTATCTAACCTTAAAGTAAGTTCATCCACTTCCAGGTATGCTGCGAGCTTCGGGATGGAGATTGTTGAGTACACTTTTAAGAATGTCCGGAGGCCCGACAATAGTTGCTGCTGCTTCACTTCATAAATAAACAACTTCAACTGAAGTCTATAGGCATCCTGAAATAGGAGAATAGGAAAATGAATTGAATATCACACGTGGGAGAGCCAACTAATACAGGGTTATTTAAAAGTACAGTTGATGTAAGGTCTAATAATTAAATAATAAATTACACTTTCAAAAGTACTTTGCTAGTTTGCTCTTAAGCAAATCAAACCTCAAGGGAGTAAGGTATCCAATATCCATAACTCTGAACAAATGAAGGATAGTTTTGAAATTTTATAGTTGCAAAGAACCCAATTAGTATTTTTTTTAATGAACACTTGTTCAAATGATGTTTTCATACCTGGTTATAGTTTACAAGAGGCTCCTCATAACTTGGGGCAGATGGGGTGATGAATTTTGGGCATGCGTAAGAGAAGAGCTCATCATACAGTGGAATTGCCTCGTCATCATACCTTTGCATCCTCATCATTTTCTCACCGTATTTTTCCCGTAATTGAGAGTTCACAGTCTCCTCAACAAGCTGCACCTGAGGACACAAAGAAAGAGAAATAGCAAGCAAGGCATACATCTGCTCATTCTTCTTCAGTATCAGCTCATACTGAGGAGATTTCTGGTGGTATTGCTTGGCCTTGAAGATGTAGAGGAGGATTTTATTAAATTCCCTAATGGCTTCTGTATATCTGCATAAAAATTAGTGAAAATATATAAAACGGCACAACTGAATAAGTAATGCTGCTGGTAGTTTATCAAGATACTTTAGATGAGGCACATTTGTGCGAAAATAAAATTAATCAACCATATTTCCACATAACCGGGAGGGATGCAAGTTATATAGTCAATGAAATAAAACTGATTTTAAACACAAAACTTAGACAGGAAAAAACTAGAGAAGAACGAAATTCAAATATGAGAAGATAATACAAACTAAAGCACGTGGAAGAAAATAAGAGAAAAAAAAAAAAAAAACCTTGCTGCATAGAGTTTGAACGAATATAATACGATATATTACCTAAAACCTACCTTCGCAGCATAAGATTTGCAAATCCATAGTGATATATAGTCGCAATATGGCTGCCAATAACACTGAAGTACACTCCTTGTTGGCTTATGTCAATTGGAAGTAAGCATTTAAGGCCTGTGTGATAATCACCCAACAAGCAGTGAACTCTAAGAAGGCCGATCATGCTGAAGTACCCCAAGACCTTCAAGACATTACTTCCGCCACTGTAATCATACCCATCTGTAGCCGTAAACTGTTCAGCGCCTTCTTTCTCCTGCTCTAGAATTTGAATGATTTTGGACTTCTCCACAAGTGCTTGTAGGTAATTGAGGACACCATAGACATTCCATGCCTGTTAAACAAACACATTTGTGATTATTCTCTAACAATAAATCAACAAAAGCTCAAATTCAACAGATCAAAGGAAAGATCTTGGGGAAGTATCTCTCTGAAAACAAAAGCAACATAGTTAGACAAGTTATATCTACAGCATGTCAAACTAGCACTAGCAGTGAGGTCAGTAAACCCAGCATATCCAATTTTCCATCACAGCCTCCAAATTTTAGGACATAACCCATAAACTCTTTGGATATGATTGTGCGCGTATTATGTGAACATATAAATGCCGTTATTATCAATTGGAAGCTTGAACTAATATCATCACATCAGGTAAATCATGAAACCAGCTGAGAAAGCAAGGTAATCACTCCACAAGCACCCGATAGATGGTCAACCCCTCATACTTTTTTTTAACAAAAACTCATACACATGTTATGAAATGGCATGTTGTTTTTCAGAGTATTATATTCAAGTCTGAAAGTACGCAAATCTGTTGAAATGTCTACTCCCTACTGATCCACAAGTTTTCTAAGTTGTATATGCTTTTTATCACAAATTAAGTATTGAAATACAATCGGTCCTGAACTTATTCTATAATAGGAATCTGAGTAACCCTCACCTGATCAAATTGCCTCAGAAGTGCAATCTCCTGCTCGGTCTTTGTCTTCATCTTAGCCCGATATTGGCAGAATGACTGAAACTGGTAAACAAACTCATCAACCATGTCCCACAACCACTGATTTGGCAGCTGCATATTCACTACACCATGCACTACAACCTGTCCCAACACCATATTCAGAACATCAGTTTAGTTCATCCAAATCAAGCTAAATCCTATATCATTCATATTAAAATATGAAGCTAAACCCACTATCCCCAACAAACTTGTGACATTGAGCTGCTGAAACAACCCTAACCTGGAACAAATTGCAATAATTTTCCCACGAATCAATCCGTTGCCTGAGAGTAGGCGAGAGCCTGGCGTACAAATGTCGGAACCACATCTCGCGATACAGCAAACAAAAGACATGGTCGTTATCAACGTACGGCGCCACAGACTCCACGGAGGGCCACGGGCTGTCCTTGAAAAACCTTTCGCTGATGCTCTGAAACGACGTCTCGTACATCTGATGAATCTCGTACACGTTCTTCTCTCGAATGTGGCGGTACATGTGAACTACGAACGATTTGACGGAGTCCGGCACGTAGCTGGAGTCGTATCCTCCGCCGGCGGTGTCACCGGGGATGGGCTGATCGGAATCGTAAGCTGCGGCCATTTTTTGCGGTGGTTGAATTTTGGGTTGGAAATCTGTGATGCTCGGAGGTTTGAGGTTTTGTTTTGGTTTTTGCCCTAAAAGAGTTGAGAATGTAAAGTGGGCTGAGTTTTCATATTTATATTTGGGCTTGTGTTGCTGTTTGCAACTCTACCACATTAACTAAAATAATTGAATATCTACCTAAATTAAACAATAAACATATTTAATTAGATTAATTAATGCCTAAGTAGGTTTCAAATCCTTTAAGGAAAATCGCTACATATTTATGCAATGCATATATAACCCAAAATATTGTTCCTAGAATATAGAAAGATCAGATCGGGTATATTTTTTTTTCGACGGTCTTTTTTTTTTTTTTGNGTCTTGTTTTTTTATGTATATTTATTGTATATTTTTTGGTTTTTTCATTATTTTGGTTTTTATTTTTGTTGGTTTGTGTAAATGACAGATGAATATGACTTTAATGATGTGCTTCCATTACAGTGGTGTTTGAGTTAATAATGAATATATATACTGCTTATACCCGCAACATATAGGACTTTGATTTTTGTAGATGAATGGGCAACGAAAAAATATACTGAACAGATACTACCTATACCAGCAACATATACTATGGATTGTGCTTTCGGGAACATATACTGAAAAATATACCGTATATAAACGCAACATATCCCACAACATAATAAATCAAACGAAAAAAATTCTCAAAAAGACTGAAAAATGAATTTTGATTTTTTTTTTGTAGTTTATATAAGGTTTATGAGTTAAATATATACACAATATATACTGAACATATATTGCTTATACACATTCGATAAAAAATATTTGCTACACACAAAAATCTATACATTCGATAAAAAAACATTTGCAACACACAACATATACTGAAGAAAGTGACGAAGCTAGCGTAGGACACCGAATGGTGGAGAGAGAGAGGAGTGGGAGGAGCGGCTCGAATGGGGCGGCGGAGATATGGTACCTTGCGAAGAGGAATCGCCCGTGCTAGAGGCCGTTGAACAGTGGGAGGAAATACAATGCGGCGAAGATTAGGCGACAAGCATTAACAACCCTAATTAACCGATAAATTAACTGAAAATATCAACAAAATCAAAGAACTCAATCGAAAATCGTTAAAGATCGATAGATGATAATTACCTGAAACTCATATTACAAAATGGATCCATAGATGCTTTTTCGCTGTTCAAATATCATAACTTCAATGCTGTCAATCGTCGCGCCTCACAGACGCTCATGTAGATACACACACAATACATACAAAATTAAAATCAAAATAAACATAATAACACGAAGTACCAAAAAATTATTTATTGATAAAGTACGGTGTAAGGAGAGAGAGAGAGAGATTTTAGAGTGTGATGAGAGATAGGGTTAAAGTGACGAGTTGTGGGAGAGAGATGATGGAGAAGATGTGTTGACTTAGTAGTGAGAAAAGATCTTACTAATTAATAGGGAGTAATTATTTAGAATGTGATAAGTTCCTTAATTACGCATAAACAAAATTTCACCAGATTTAACCTCTAATATGGTATTTGTGTAAATAAAATCAGTAGATTATGTTAATATGCTAATATTTTTTAGGTTCTTATATTTATGTAATAAAAAGATAAACTAAGTGTGCATGGTACAAATTCC